TTGTTGCTATTTGCGGTCGAACGGATCAGCGTATTTGGCTGTGGCATATTTGGCCTCACCCTGGTATTGGATTGTTGGCTGAAAGGCTCCTTGCCTTTTATCATGATGGCTTCGACAGCACTCATGCTGCTTGTTTCCTCCGGTAGCTGTTTATCTGGGAAAGTTAGCTCGTTGACTGCTTTCGATCTATTTCTATTCTCCATTATCACCCTCTCGGCGCGCCTACATTCTGTTTTTAAATCGGCCAGGGTATCCATCCTATAAGCAAATGTCAAATTTGCAAGGTATGGTTTCAAATTCTCTCTTAAAATGCCTACTAATTCCTTTTCAGGAATTTTCTTCCTCAGACGGAACGTCAAGTTATGGACCTCCCCGTAAAATTCATCGAAGCTTTCTTGTGGGAGCTGTTTGCGTTCCATTATCTCGCGGATTATCTCGTAGTCGGACTCCGCTGTCTTGAAGTGGGCCAGCAACTCGGATTTCAGCTCGGTATATCCGAAGTTCAGATCATCGGCATGATCTTCGAGTACTTGCCAGTACCACTTCAAGGCGGAGCCCGATACGAGACAATGAAAGTCAGTGAAGAGTTGGTTGTGTGAAATCTCATGTTGTGGGCGCACTTTTTCTATACGAAATAGGAAGCTTTCAACTCATGATCCAACGACTACAGATCACGTAATCCGCCATCGTTGTATTTGTAATCGATTTTCAGAAAAAAGTTTTCGTAGTGTTTTTGATGTTTTTTGGTTCTGTTTACATCGTCTTCTACCTCTTCGTAGTGATATTTTAGCGATTTTATGTGTTTTCTGCAGCGATTTTAATTAGAAATTTTGATTTATTACAAATTTATGATATAATATGTAGTGCTTTTTGATTGGAACAAGTTTGTGCGTCTGTTTGATTTGCCAAGAGGAGTAAAATTGCGTGAAAAGTGGGTGCACATTTGTGGTCAGAACGTGGCATTGAAAAATCGACCGGCGCCGATAATATGCGATTGTAAAACACTCTCAATCATTAAAACCATATTTTATGAACTTTTTTTGCTAATTGTCATCAAGTTTCACTTTTTATAGTTTATAATAAATACCAATCTAATCGCACTCAATCACCGCGCCTTTTTCGTTTTCTTTGTTTGCTTTCATTTTTAGGCAGATGTCAAAAACGCTCAGAAATTTACTTTTTTCATTCTTTTCCGATTGCGTGATCTTGTTAGTAGGTTCATGCTTTCAACTGTCATACCCTTACTATTGCCATCGAACTTTATGTGCCATTTTTCCAAATCAACTTTCTTTCTGTTCATCGAAGCCTTCGTTATTACGAGTTGTGTGGTCGTTATCGTGTTGGCCGAAAGCTTCGTTTCCGTGACCCCTATTTTCTGGTGTCGATGCGAGAGCAGAACGATGGCCCAAGGCTTGAGCAGACGTTTCCATGTCGGCCACAGTGATCGGACTTACAAATAAATTTGTGTGGTAGAATTTGTAAAAAAAATGTGGTAGATTTCAAAAAAATGTGGTAGATCTCAGGTTTTGGACCAAATTTTGTACAAAAATTAAAAATATTCTGCAAGGTTTCACCTAAATTGCAAACATTTTAATTAGCATCTAAAAAAAAAGAATTATAGTATAACAAATTGTAAGATTGAAGTAGCTAAAAATTTCTTGAGTTTTGGCAATTTTTTTCCTTGACAGTGTAAAGCAGTTCCTTCCATATCAAGATATTTTTCGAACATATCTCAAAAGATTTCTGCACCCTTGCGGAGTGCTGCCAGCTTTCCTTTTTATCACATCACGATGTAGCGAACAAATGTGGCACGTTCCAGAAACCGTTATTGGGATTTGCCAATTTCGAAAATTCTCAAGTAAAAGTAAAGAACGCTTTAGAAACTTTAGATGCACAGAAATTTGCTAATAGTTTCACAAAAATCGCCATTTTTTACCATTTTCGCTTTAAATCTTTTTATAAATCACATATTTTGCAATTTAACACAATAAAACCACGTCTCCTGTCGAAAAATTGAATATTGAGAAAATTTACTATTTTACACTTTATTTTATCCTCACAATTTTCCTGTTGTTAGTGTTTAGTGTTGGAAAATTTTTGCTCTTAAAATTAACTAAAACTACTCAAAAACGCGAATATGTGGTAGATTTCAGACCTTGTGTGGTAGATGTGGTAGATGCTCAAAAAAGTGGCAGATCTACCACAATGTGGTACAAGTCCGATCACTGGTCGGCCAGTCGGTTGCTGAGACTCGAGACATTTGCTCTCATATTACGGACCTCATTCATGCACTGGGCCATCATATCGTTCTGTTGCGCCATCATCCCCATCATGCGGCTCAGTTGCTCGATATTGGCCATAGTGCAGGTCGCGCTATCTCCTTGAGCTTTTGGAGCTCCAGCACCCGAGCCTCCTGTACGTTCGCTCAGCCCCGGATCGTCGCCGTTTCCAGCACCTTGTTGCTCAAGCTCCGACATTTCAAAAAGTTGTTCGATTTTCCTTGAAAAACTAAGCCTGTTATTCGAATCGCAGATCGATAGCTGACTTGTTATAGCTACGCTGGGTTGACGTGCTGCTTCTTCTCCTAACGTTCTAAAAATTCGAGCGGTGCACCTATTAAAAAATCCGTTGGCACAAAATCAACTGGACGCGGAATCCCTGTGTCGATTTGATTGAATAGGGACCCGACGACCTGGTTCTCTAGCGCGCGTGTGACACTTCTAGTCACCGGCCTATCGGTGCTAAATAGCCCTAATCCACCAGCAACTCTCTTCTAGGGATTTCGCTCTTCCATTCACCCTCACCTTCACACCAAAAGGAAAATTTTCGTAAGCAAAATCAATATTTATCACCATAAAGAACAAGTACGTGCTGTATGCCTAATGTGACCAACCGTACTTCTTTCGGAAGTACAGTACTTCTTTTTTCGCTCTTGTACTTCGTACTTCGAAGTACAGTCCAATGTACTTCTTTGCAATATTTTGTACTTCAGGAGGGAGATTTTGTAACCAGTAAGCGAAAATTCTCGAATCGCTATCGCACTTTTTGACGCATGATATAAATGTTTTTGCGTCAAAAAGTGCGATAGCGATTCGAAAATTGTCGCTAAATGGTTTCAGAATCTCCCCCCCAGGTCCTGCGCTTCTCCGATCTTTTGGACGATCGTCACGTGGCTTGGACGATAATGGTTCGAACCATTAAAGTCGCTGGGGACCGATGGCATCATACCTGCGCAGCTGCAAAGGCCTCTGAAGGTGTCGTGCAATTGGTTGGATCCTATTTATGAGAACTGTGTGGGGACCGGGTACATCCTCAAGTCATGGAGGGTAGTCAGTATTACGTCCATCCCGAAGGCCGGAAAAGGCGCACGTGTTTCCCCTAGGTATTTTAGGCCAATCAGTCTCTCTTCGGTTTTGCTAAAAACAGCGATCAACGGCGGCTGTCTTGGAAGCCTAACATTGAGGAAAGGGTAAGAAAGGTTTCGGTTGCCTTGTACTGCTGTATCGGCTATCGGTAAAAGATGAAGTCTCTCGCCCAAATTAATTCATTAGCTCTAGGAAACCAGATTTAAGCCACTATTTCTTCATGGAGCCCTTATCTGGTGAAGTCAATCGAGAAGGCTGTACTTGTAAAATAGGAATTAGCGGAGCATTAGGAACAACACCTACACTGGCGCTTAACATACATATGTTGAACACGGCGCCTCCGGATATTGCAGGCGGAATTTTCGCAGTACGAACTGCTATTGGGCTAAAGGAAACCGGGTCATTTTGTGACATAAAAAACGAAAAGAAGACGTTTCTTTGCGGCAGAAAATATTTTTATAGGGCACTTTAAAACACATGACCTCTCAAGGGCTAGTGATAGGAGTTCTGACAGGCCATTGTGCGATTGGTATTCATACGGTGAGACTATTAATTTCAACTGATCCTTTTTTATCAGCTGTCACGAGGAAGATGAGGTGGAATCATCTCCACACTTTCTTTTAGACTCTCCAACCTTCGCGAGGCTAAGATGGAAGCATTTTGGCTCGCACTTCTGAACAAACACTGAGATTTCAGGACTCGAAATTAGCTGCACTCAAAATTTTGTAATCAACCTAACCTGTCCTTCTTTGAGCTATGAAATAGTTGGTCACATTATGTATGCCTTAACGGAAGTTCTTCTCAACCTTCGAGTTAAAACCGTAGATTTATAACCAACATATAAAAACAAAACCCTACTTCGGCGTCGCGAGAAATGTAATTAAAAAAAAAAATTCAGTTTATTCGACTACAGATGGTATAAAACGTGATTGATTCCCAAAAAAAAATTCAAAAAAAAGCAAAACTAGTTATACGGATAGTTCTGTGCTTCAATATACTAAAAAAAAAAAGATAATGTTCTCAATGTAAACACATGGAAAAATTGTATGTGTATCTAGATATGACATTATTATTAATTCGATCAATTACGGAAATTCCTTTTCCAAGATTTGGCAGAAGAAGTTAAAAGATAGTTTATAAATGTATATGTTCGATAAACAGTTTATGATTTTGATTGGCGTGTTTTCGGTGCTGCACCTAGGCGAGGTCATAGTGGGTGTGCTCTAGTCAGTCTGCGGTCAAAAGTCGCGGTCAACTATTTTGGAACAGCATCATCCAAAGCACTAGCTTTAAATATGGTTCCCAAACTTTTCCTTAACCCCAGCTTATCCCTATACGCTNCTACCTCTATGTACAAATTTCACAAGAAACCAAGAATATAGGTCAATGCATATAATTATATATGCACGTACGTTAGTACATGTATACGCTTAAATTCTAGCACTCACCGGTCTCTCCAACGATGAAGGCGCCTGCATGCGGGAGACAGGTTGCTGAAAACAAAAAAATATGTACATACGTATGTACAAGCTTTCCAGCGAGTACGGGAAAATATGTGTTTATCATAGATGGAGCATANACTCTGCCATGACTCCTTCAAATCGCAGAGTCCCCTAATCCTGACTAGTGTCCGTATGTCATTTTATCTGTCATGTCCCTGTCCACAGTCTGAAGTCAGCAACACCCATGTCCCCTCTATTGCACTAGTGCAACACCCACACCAAACCAATTATCTTAGCAACTCATTCTTATATCTTTTCAACTTCTCTACATTGGAATCTTTTATTAATTTCAAAAATAACAATACTAACTGCAATAATTTGACCTATTACTATATGTATATACTAAAAGCTACAGCTTGACGATTCATTAAATTCAAATTCCTTGTTCTTAGACCTCAACTGAAAACTAATTCAAACTAGATGGTAAGTTTAACAATTTTTGATTCATATAATTCTTGCTTGTGAACTTAATATTTGTATTTCAACTTTGTAATTAGATCTACACTTATCTAACTAAGCCTTCATTCGAAAGGAACCTGGCCCAATAATCATGTACGCTGCTGTAGATATCTCAAAGCTACTACCTCTATGTACAAATTTCACAAGAAACCAAGAATATAGGTCAATGCATATAATTATATATGCACGTACGTTAGTACATGTATACGCTTAAATTCTAGCACTCACCGGTCTCTCCAACGATGAAGGCGCCTGCATGCGGGAGACAGGTTGCTGAAAACAAAAAAATATGTACATACGTATGTACAAGCTTTCCAGCGAGTACGGGAAAATATGTGTTTATCATAGATGGAGCATATTTGGGTCTACAATGACAAATGTCGAAGTGTCAAACTCATTGGGACCACGCGCTTTGATACGACACCTTTTGGAGGACAAATTCTTTAGATCTAAATTAAAATGGATTCTCGATTAAAATAAAAAAACTACAATTCAATTCAACGGAACAGCTTCGCGGAAAACTCAACAATATATGGGGGTAAGAAAAAAAATAGTAATAACTGCTACTAAACTAACCAAAAAACGGTATGGAGAAAAATTAAAACTTAGATATAGGAATTCATGCAAAGAACGAAATACATGTTTATAACTAAACATCTGCGGCAAATTCAAAAAAGGATTAACTAATTGAAGAAAAGTTCTCGCAATAAATTTAACATAAACGGATCATGTGCGAAGAAACAAGCGGTGATAACTATAAAAAAGAGAAAAAAAAATAAACTAATTGAAGAATGACAGGAGAAAGTGTAATTTAAAATAGCAGGCAAAAAAAATATAGTGTAATGGGAGTAAGAAAAATGACACAATCCACTTTCAGAGCGCCTGGATCGGAGCGCTTGGAAGCTCTCGCTTCGCATCCCGCGTTGATTCCTGTGCTTGGAAGGTTTATTAATTATGTATGTATGTATGATCTCCCTTCTCCAGTGTCTTCTTCCTCCCTGGATTTTTTTTGCTACGCTCCCTCAAAATCGGTTGTATTCCGCTTATGTGCATGCGGTCGTTGACGTTAGTTCTTATGTGCTTCCAGATCAGCTGGTCTTTTTGCACATATGTATGCCCAACAGTTGCTGGCGTAAAGAGCCCAACTCGAAAACTTCGGTTTTGCCGCCCTGGCGATATGCCTGTGTGAACCTACGGAGTACATACCCAGTTAGACTTCGTGGAGTTTCATTAAACTGAATTTTTATTTGAAATGACTCAATTTATTATTTTTCAAGCACTTTTTCTTGTTGGTCATCATACTGTAGTATGTCTGTATTGGTGCATGCATGTATATCTTACATGTATTACCTGATGTTATATGGCTCTGTGTGTTTAGATATTNTTCTTGCTTGTGAACTTAATATTTGTATTTCAACTTTGTAATTAGATCTACACTTATCTAACTAAGCCTTCATTCGAAAGGAACCTGGCCCAATAATCATGTACGCTGCTGTAGATATCTCAAAGCTACTACCTCTATGTACAAATTTCACAAGAAACCAAGAATATAGGTCAATGCATATAATTATATATGCACGTACGTTAGTACATGTATACGCTTAAATTCTAGCACTCACCGGTCTCTCCAACGATGAAGGCGCCTGCATGCGGGAGACAGGTTGCTGAAAACAAAAAAATATGTACATACGTATGTACAAGCTTTCCAGCGAGTACGGGAAAATATGTGTTTATCATAGATGGAGCATATTTGGGTCTACAATGACAAATGTCGAAGTGTCAAACTCATTGGGACCACGCGCTTTGATACGACACCTTTTGGAGGACAAATTCTTTAGATCTAAATTAAAATGGATTCTCGATTAAAATAAAAAAACTACAATTCAATTCAACGGAACAGCTTCGCGGAAAACTCAACAATATATGGGGGTAAGAAAAAAAATAGTAATAACTGCTACTAAACTAACCAAAAAACGGTATGGAGAAAAATTAAAACTTAGATATAGGAATTCATGCAAAGAACGAAATACATGTTTATAACTAAACATCTGCGGCAAATTCAAAAAAGGATTAACTAATTGAAGAAAAGTTCTCGCAATAAATTTAACATAAACGGATCATGTGCGAAGAAACAAGCGGTGATAACTATAAAAAAGAGAAAAAAAAATAAACTAATTGAAGAATGACAGGAGAAAGTGTAATTTAAAATAGCAGGCAAAAAAAATATAGTGTAATGGGAGTAAGAAAAATGACACAATCCACTTTCAGAGCGCCTGGATCGGAGCGCTTGGAAGCTCTCGCTTCGCATCCCGCGTTGATTCCTGTGCTTGGAAGGTTTATTAATTATGTATGTATGTATGATCTCCCTTCTCCAGTGTCTTCTTCCTCCCTGGATTTTTTTTGCTACGCTCCCTCAAAATCGGTTGTATTCCGCTCATTTGCATGCGGTCGTTGACGTTAGTTCTTATGTGCTTCCAGATTAGCTGGTCTTTTGCACATATGTATGACCAACAGTTGCTGGCGTAAAGAGCCCAACTCGAAAACTTCGGTTTTGCCGCCCTGGCGATATGCCTGTGTGAACCTACGGAGTACATTCCCAGTTAGACTTCGTGGAGTTTCATTAAACTGAATTTTTATTTGAAATGACTCAATTTATTATTTTTCAAGCACTTTTTCTTGTTGGTCATCATACTGTAGTATGTCTGTATTGGTGCATGCATGTATATCTTACATGTATTACCTGATGTTATATGGCTCTGTGTGTTTAGATATTTAGGTTCTTTTGACTTTTCACTTAGAATAGTTCAAGTTAAATTTTTCTTTACTTAATTAGAATAAAACTTATTTTTCTTTTATTTATTATGATTTTAATCCGTAATACATGCTCATATTTTATTAGGTTTTTAATTTGATTTATTTAATTTAAATTTATTTTCTTCTACTTCAATTGAACGTTATTTTAATTTAGTTCCATTTTAATTTAGGTTTTATTTTCACTTGATACTTCACCATTAAACGGACTTTTCACGATTTTTTTTTTTCAAGTCATTTCAGCACAATTAACCAATTAACTGTCTTACCTTCTTAACAGAACTCCTTACGGCTTAGACAGCTAATAAACGGTCCTCCACTACTTTTTTTTGCCTACTTTTGGCGAGATTTTATATAGCGACTAGCACGCACTTCTTTTCCCTTCAGGAGCAAACCAACATTTGATTTTAGAGGTAGGTTGGCTGGCGATCGTGCCCCCGACCATTGGCTTGACAAAATTCTCCTTTACTTTCACTCAACTATAACTTTCATACTCGTACTCTCACAGGTATACATTTTACATTACCAATACACGTATAACTTTCACATTACACACACATGTATAACTTTTACCTTACACACACACGTGCACTCACGTCACAATCACAAAACTCATACGTCCTTTCACCCATGTTGCGCAGCATGTTGAGATACATGTTCGGGTTATGACTGGGATCCATGCATGTTTAGATGAGACTGGTAATTATTTGGGGAAATTTTTCCAAGTAAAAGCTGCGTCACAGAACCATAAGTCACACGAACTCGAAATTTGGTATGCAGATGTTTCAATGGTAGGTGCTTTTAGGAGGGTATGTATAAACGAGTTTGTAAAAGGGGGCGTCGCACATCCCATAGGCGTGGAATTTTTAGCTATACCTTCGGAACCTCGGAACCCACGAACTTGAAATTTGGTATGCTTATAGAAGGGTACGTATGAACGTGTTTGGAAAAGGGGGCGTTGCACATCCCATAGGAGCGGAATTTTTTATCAGCTATAACTCCGGAGCCAAAAGTCCCACGAACTTGAAATTTGGTATGCAGCAATACCAGTGGTAGGTGCTTATAGAAGGATACGTAAAAACGAGTTTGTAAAAGTGGGCGTGGCCCATCCCATTGACGTGGAATTTTTTATCAGCCATAACTTCGGAACCATAAGTCCCACGAACTTGAAATTTGGTATGCAGATATATCAATGGTAGGTGCTTATACGAGGGTATATATAAACGAGTTTGTAAAAAGGGGCGTGGCACATCCCATAGGCGTGGAATTTTTTATCAGCCATAACTTCGGAACCTAAGTCCCATGAACTTGAAATTTGGTATGAAGGCATATAAATAAATGGTATAAATAAAGGGTATAAATAAATTAGTTTGTAAAAGGGGGAATGGCACGTCCTATAGACGTGGAATCCTTTATCAGCTATAACTTCGGAACCATAAGTCACATGAACTTTAAATTTGGTATTCAGACATACATAGGTATCCATGGGAGGTGTTCAGAGTAAAGTATATGTAATAATGTTTATTGTTGGTTCAAATTATTGATGTTTAGTTAAATACAATGAATGATTGAATTCGATATATAAAAGTGTTAGATGAATGTTTGAACAATTTAATATTTCAAGATATTAGGTGTATTCAAAATAAGATTACTCGGCTTGAACGACTTCTTAGCGGCTTGACAACTGATAGCAGAAAAAAACACTGCTTCGACCTCTTACTTCGACGGCTACTTTTTACAACTTGACTCTTTTGACCCTCGACAACTTCGGCGACTTGACGACTTGACCTTCTTTTGACTTTCGGCAACTTCGATGACTTGATTGAGATGATTGAACGACTGCTGACTATTTAACGACCGATAGTGTTGCCTTTTTACACCCGGCCATCCTGATCATCATCTGACCCAGATGATAAAATATGCGCGTCTTGTAAGTATTTCCACGGCTTTATGTGGTCTGCACTTGTAGATGTTTGACGCGGCCCCTCAAAATCTGCTGCCTTTTCAACCTCGTATCTGCCATTCTGTTTTACTGCTACAATTTTATATGGTCCTATAAATTTTCTGCTTAACTTCTTGCCAGCCACGAATTGCGTCTGTTTAATTGCTACCAAATCAAACTTTTGGTACCCAGTATGCGGTTTGCGCTTTTTGTCAAAGTTCTTCTTATACTCTGCTTGTGCCTTCTGAATGGCTTCTTTCGCTTCCATCCTAACCTTTTTCCGCTCATCTGTAAATGTAGTTAAAATTTCTTCTTCAATCGCTCTTACCACGTCCGGCTGTGTCTCGCTTCGCATTTTTACTCCAAAGAGTACTTCGAACGGTGTGTACTTAAATAGTTGACGAATGGACGTGTGCGTTAATTGCTTTCTGCACCTGTCCGATGTACTTGTACCACTTGCTTGGTTCCGTTGCTGACAGCTTTGACAAGACTGAGAGGATAACTCGATTCACTCTCTCGATTTGTCCATTTCCTCTTGGAACGCCAGTGGTTGTTTCGACGTGTTCAACATTATGTGCACCGCAAAACTCTTTAAAACATTTTGAAGTGAATGCTGGACCCTTATCGCTTATAATCCTTTGCGGGCTGCCAAAAATATCCATCCATGTTGTCAAGTGCTTCACTACATGTGCTGCGTCTGTCGACTTTGTTGCAAACAACCAAGTGAACTTGGTAAAACCATCGACTATGGCGAAAACGTATTTGTAACATTTTGCTGTTGCGTCTAGTGGGCCTAAATGGTCAATATGAATTGTGCTAAATGGTGCATCGCCTTTGTTTATGATATGCAAAAAATCGTCTTGCTTCCCCATTTTG